CAATAGATCTGTTTTGGACGAAGTGAGTGCTCCTTAAAGGCCAAGATGGCCAAACTTCGTCTCGCATACTTTGGACATATTGTCAGGAGGGAACATTCGCTGGAGAAGGATATCATGTTGGTAAGACGGAGGGTCAGAGAAAAAGAGGAAGACCCCCCAATGAGATGGATTGGCCAGGTGGCAGCATTAATGGATTCAAGTGTGGCAGCGGTAGTGAGGTTGGCCTGGGATCTGACATTGTTTCGTTCTGTTCATGGGGTCGCTATGAGTCGGTTCTGACTCGATGACACCTAACAACAGATCCCAGGAGGAGTAACCACCCAGCTCTATTCACAAAAAGTTTTGAATTTTACAATCAGGTTGGTTAAAATATCTGCCCCTTAAAAAGTGGCTCATGGGAAAATCCAAATATATATTCTCACAGAGAGTTGGAGAGGGGACTCCTGACAGTCGTGGAGGTCCAAGGTACAGAGGATAAATTAAAAACCCAAAGAGTGGCTTACTATGTCCAAGAAGATGGCCTGTCTTTTGACCAGGATGTTGGTCTTAAAACAATCCATTTCCTGATGACCAAGAGAAAGACCAGAACTGGGAGGAAGAAATTGCTATCATGTTCCAGGAGAACTGATTGCAATCTTCGCAGGCTTGCAAAAATACAGATGGCCAATCAAAATTTACCTCTATTATCACCACAGAAGCAGAAGGTGCACCCCACCATCAAATTTACAATAGAAAAATAAAGAAAGTATCCAAGAGGCAGGAGGGAAAACAAAAACAGATTGGTGAAGACAATGTTACTGAGTTATTTATCAGTAACAGTACTAAGGGAAAATACTTCAAAAATACACCTAGTTTCATATAATTTAAACTGCTTACATAAACAGAAATGCTCAACTAGAGAAACTAGTTAAGGTTAAATTCTCAAGATTCCCCCTTCCTTAGGTCATCATCTAGTACAAAATGAGGAAATGTTGATACTACAAGACTGATTTTTGTGTTGAAGAGAACAAAATGGTTAATCATACAAATGTCGACATTTAATCAGTTTTATTCATCAACAGGATCGCTAACTCATCAGAAAATAAGTGACTTCGGTCTAAGAAAGTTTGGCATTCTTGGATCCCTGAAGATACTGCAGAGACCTGCCTTGCCCCAGCTATATGCCAGGAAGTCAACTGACCTCACCCTATATGTTACAAACTGCTTCCTGACTTGCAAACAGTAGTACTAGTGTCCAGGTAGACCCACAAAATAATGTCGTTCCACTTTCATACTCACCAGCTGTTCCTCAGTAACTACAGGGTTGATATGAGTCGGAACTGACTTGATGACACATAACAACAACCTTCATACTACAAAACAACTGTTCTTGTTAAGTGCTATGTAGTACATTCCAATCCATAGAAACCATGTAGAGGGTTCCCAAGGAGCAGCTGGTGGGTTTGAACTTCTGACCTTGTAGTTAGCAGTCCCGTTCTTACATCAGCTAACTTCCTCCATCTAAAACATATGCTGGTTTCACTTTTGGTTGCATAAAAGAACCTCAAGGTCAATTTGAACCACAAAGTCAGCAGAGCAAACCAACCAGTCGCTCCTCCGGTTGCTATGAGTTGGAACCGACTCGACAGCGAGGATGTAAGTCACACTTGGACATGGCCTAGTTTACCAGCCACATCTGACAATCTCTCTCTCATGACTTGAACTCACTGCAGTTCAGTCCGCAAGAAAAGCTTATTTAGAGAAACAGCAATTGTACAGAATATAATTCAATATAAAGAAAAATAATCCTTACACTGGACCAATACATATGATAAATGAAGAAAAGATTTAAGTTGTCAAAGACTTAATTTTCCTTAAATGAATAATCAACACTCAAGGAAGCAGTAGTCAAGCCTTAGGGAAATCTGCTGCAAAAGACCTCTGTGAAGTGTCCAAGAGCAAAGAGAGTGCCTGACCCATGCCATGGCCTCATATGCACGTGAATGTTGGACAATGAATAAGGAAGACCATAGAAGAATCAGTGTAATTAAAAATATAACAAGTACCATGGACTGCTAAAATAACAAACAGATCTCTCTTGGAAGACGAGCAGCCAGAATGCTCCTAGAAGCCAGGAGGTAAGATTTCATCTCTTATACTTTGGACATGTTATCAGGAAGGACCAGTCCCTGGCGAAGGACATCATGCTTGATGATAAAACAGAGTCAGTGAAGGGAAGGAAGAACACCCCCCCA